TAGTATTTATTTATATTTACCTGGGATACATCAGAGCTGTACAGTACTGTATGTAGTATGCCTTCGTAAGGCTGTTTAACGATAGGATGTACTTATTGTAGCAAGCAATAAGTCCCACCCACTTACTCAGGGACGTTTTAGGTCAATAGTACCAAATTCCCTGAGTGAGTGGGCATTTGACCATTGAGTGGGTGTGTCACCCACTCAGTCGGGGAATTGGTCTGCTGCGGTGCAGCTGTGTCACGCATGGCCTCGCTCGATGCAATCGTCGGGAATGATCAAACTACAAGTCGTTTCTACGCCGAATTGTTGCAACCTACAACTGTACTCCCGCATACGCACAGCGGTATTGTGAATGACAAGCTGATTGCTGCATGAGAACAACAAAACAAATTACCTAATATACCTGGTACTAGTAACCCACAGTTTGGAGCCCCGAGCACACCAACAAGCTACAACAACGTCCATGGCCTCGCTTCCGCCAGACCCTGGCAAGCACCCGACCATACCTCTGACACTGTCGAACACCTTGACCATGCCAACTACTATGGCCACCGTCATCGTTCACCGCAATGGCGTCTCCACTTCCATCCGGGTGCCGGCAACAGGCATCATCCGCCAACATCACCCATCCTCCTCCGAAAACGACTCAGCTTCTGACACCACCGACAGTTCCGTTGACCTGCCCCTCACCGCACGCCAACTTCGATCGAAGCGTGCTGCAGACACGTTCCTTGTTCGTCACGACCGCACCAGGAACCCGCGGTCCCCTTCTCGACCGCACCACACTCACAAACCCACAAGAATCCACGCCCCACCTGGCCCGGCACGCCCAGCTCCGCCCCAGATGGCCTCTCCGAGGATGACAGACCTATCCAAGCTAGACAGACACGCAAGACAAACACCGCCAACCACCCAGGTCAAGCTCCATCACTCCAGCCTCGTCCAACTATGCCACCCGCTACGATTCCTACTCCTCTTCAGCCCTCGAAGTCGGCCAAAGGTTCCTCTACACAGAGCTCCCTACCGGGCATATGGCGTCGATCCCCTCCAACCGCCCTGGCGCCCCATCCCATCACCCTCCCCATTTCCACTTCACACATCACTACACCCATATCAGCACGCATTACACACTGCCATGGGCCTTCACAGGCAACCATTCCTGCCATTCCAACATGCGGCCACTGCCTCCTCCTCCAAGCAAACCAATTCCCCTGCAAATCACGCACCACCACATGAGTACACCCCCTACTCCCACACGCAGCTCTCATCCCCACGCCCTGCTCCGTCCGATGTGCAGCCCTCGACCACCCTTGCATCAGCACCTGCCCCCCCATGTCCCGCCCCAGCTACACCACCACCAACCATGACGCCCCCCCGTGTCACGCTCTGGACCACCACATACCCTGCCCATGCTGACTACCTCAACCCCAGTCAAATACACACTACTAGGCTCCCTAGTCCCCACCCATCGGGACATCCCACTCCATAACCCCGCCACATCACCGCCATCTCCCCCAGTTGGACCGGAACGCCCAACCACGCCAACTGACACATGCGCACTGGGCACACTACGCCCAACATCCCAAAAAATGCAGCATCCGGAGTCCAACCCGACACAGAGCACCACCCATCCAACCTTTGAGGACATGCCTACATCCCCGGCCCCAACACCACCTGACCCGGCACACACCCATCCCATCCCCCACACTGGCTCTCCCTCTCACCCAACCCGACCACCACCAGTCAAACGCCACCACTCCGACATCGAACCCGACCTGGACTTTTCACACCCCTCCGTCCACCTCCCGCCGACAAAGCGACACCACGATATGCGTAATCTGCCCACTCCGCACTACCAACCAAGCTCCTATGAACCTGGGCAGAATGAGCAGGGAGTAGCCGACACTACTATAAGGGACGACGACCAGGAGGAGTATGACGCCAACACAGCCCTCCAGTTTCCGGGCATCCGGAACCTGCACGACGAAGGACAGCCAATCCTGTATCCCACCATGCAACGTTACTGGGAGCGGGAGGCACACCCCTTCCAAGGCTTCACCGCAGACGACATTGCCGAAGTAGAGTGACACTTCGCCGATGCCAAAGTCCGTATCCAGTTCTCCATCAATCCGTCACTCCAGCCTCCAAACGACCAGCATCCTCAACTACCGACGCGAGATAGAGGATATCTGTCAGGAACGCTTCGGCCTTACCTTGCTCCTCGGGGACCTCCTCCAACGCACCATCCAGGCCTGGGCAGCACCACGACGTGGGTATCTTTTTCTCCGAGACATCTCAGTAGTTATGATCTACCAATATGCTGGTGTACTCGACAACGGCCTCGCCTTCCACCAGCTCAAATACCGCAATCCATCCAAAACCTCTCATGGTGACCTCATGTGCGCCCTCCGCGCCCTTGGGGCAACTGACGCCATCGTCCAAAGCCATACCAGGATGTCCGGAACACATGGCCCACGCGACCACTGGGCTGCCATCGGCTGTGTTAACTGACCCTCAGAAGGCCAATACCGCTTCCGCCTCGTCTTTCCCAGCCAGAGCATGGCAGAAACTGTATACGCCAACTTCCGCCGACATATGGCCAGTCGGTTGGGACCGACTGGACCTGGTCCCCTTCCATGAAGCTCACTCCCTTACGCGACCTCTGCTGGGACAACCCCACATCCACCTTTTTCCACCCACAGGCCACCAGTGCCGCCACACTTGTGGATACCAAAGTCCACATTGGCCGTCTCCCACCACTTACCACTACTGACGACATCCTCGCTGCGCTTCGCGGCTCCCACCTCCCCACCCAGACGTCGATATCACAGGGGACGACTATGCCACCCTCACTTTTAGCACTCCAGCACCCATAGCCTTTCTCTGGTCCACCTCTGGCCCACATGGCGAGACCCGCCTATATATCCGTGACATTGCTATCCACCTCCACATCCTCACCGGTCGCCCCTGCCTGTCTGCTGCGCCGATACAGTGCCGGGACTGTGGCCGACACGGCCACCAGGGTCGACACTGTGACCGCTTCACCTATCTGGACCCACGGGATCGCGCCCGCAGCAACTCCCAACACACATCCACCACTCGCAGGGACATACGTAGCACCGACACAGGCACGCGCAGTACAAGTCGCCACCGCCACGCGGGACACCACACACATTCCGCCCCCCAACACTCCGCCGCGGAAGGCCACCAAAACCAACACCAAACCCAGGCAACTCCCACTTCAGCGCCACCCGCACCAGGTCCCAGGACACACCACGGGCCTCAATCTATACCTCCAGCGTGAGCTCTCCACGTACGTGGACCAACGCATAGTATCGGCCACGACCCCACTCCGACAGGAGGTTGAGTCCCTCCGCGCTGACAAAGAAGCCCTGGCTGCACTTGTCTCCGCCTCCAGTGCTGCATTCTCCTCTCTGGATGCGCGCCTCCTAGAGGAACGACGCCGACGCGAAGCCGCGGAACTTCTGCACGCCGAGGACAACTGCTTACGCACGGAGGCACACGTCCGCCCGAACACCGCGGTCACACAACACGAGTCCCAATAGGCTGCCTTAGCTGCACGTCTCCCATACCTCGAATCCAGCGTCCACATACTACTACAGGCAATGCAGTCCGTATCATCTCAAATGTCAGCCCTGGCAGGGCTCGGGCCCCCATCCGCCACCCCCCCACCTAACATGCCCATGCCACCCGTCACTGACTCCATTGTGACCCTCCCGGGCACTGAGGAGGATGCACTACCGGCCCGAGGACAAGAACCAGACGACACCATCGGCACTGAGCCAGAGGATCAGGTGGCGTCAAACTAACCCCGGGGTGTTGAGTCCGACCAACGACACCTCGGCAACGCCTCTGGTCTGGATCGTGGTGGCTCCTCAGCCTTCTGCTCTGGATCTCCTGCTACCCCCCCTGGCCGCTACCACCCTCTCTCCATCACCGCCATCACCCCTACCACCATCCATCACTACACCGTCCCACCCCGCCCCCGCCTTCAGCCACCTACACGATCCGTACTCTTCGGATGACTCCAACAACTCTGAGCTCCTAGATGCCCGCATTGCGGAAGCACTACAAAATCCTCTCCCGCCGAGTACCATCGACATCAATCCCCCGCGGCAACGCCGACGCCGACGCGCATGGCGGATCCACCGCCTTCCCCTCCCCCCACCCGACGCGGACACTGCCAGACTCCAACTTTACAACATCCTCCGGCGTGAATCCCTCAAGGACGAAGCGTACATTGGAGACCCAGGCCATCCGCCTCCACCGGGGCTCCTGCTAGATAGCCTGCGTATTGCATCCACCAACATCAATAAAAACACGTATGGTAAACTGGGAGATGAATTGGCCACCTGGTTCCGCGCTAGCGCACTGGACTTCCTCATCATCGCTGACTCCGACCTTCCCGTCCACAAGGCCACTCAACTCTGGACTTCCACACCCAGTGGCTCCCCCACTCCACACTTCATTTTATATGACATCCAACGTTGGCACTCACGCATCGATACCCGGCGTACAACCTACTCCCCGTCGGGGCGCAGTATATCCATCTGTATCCGCCTTGGAAAAGGCTCCCTCTTAACCCTCATTGGTACATATTGTCAAGACTCTCCCGCAGCTCACCGCGATACAACCGAACAGGAATGGCAATGGCTCACCCAGGCCACCACACAAATCCCTGGACAACACCACTATGTAATCATGGAGGGGGACTTCAACACCTATGGCACCAACCCCCTCGACCGATCTGCCCCACAACCCCGCTCAGGCCCCAGTCTGAACATCGGTACAGCCTTCCAGCAGTGGATGCAGAGTATTGGGCTACTCTCCACCTTCCGCTACAGGCACCCCAACCGACAACGTCACACCTACGCCCGCAACAACACTGCTGTCACCCTGGATGACATCTACATCTCTGCACGATCCGCCCACAAACTCAGTGCCAGCGGCATATGGCTCCATACCATCCACTCCAGTGACCATGCCGGCACCCCCTTTCTAGCCCTCGCCCTCTGCCCAGGTGATCACACGCCCTCACGACTCTCGGGTGTCAAACCCATTTGAGTCGTCAACACACGCTACCTCACGAAAGGGGACATCTCCACGTTTGGCGATCACACCTCTCAACTCCTCCTCGAGGGCCGCCTCCCACCCCTGATTACGGCACCCCTCCCACGTGCAGCCACAATGTGGTCCCCGCAAGAAACTACCGACTGGCTTGAAGGGGCGGTACAAAACCTCTATGACATCCTCTACACCAGCGCCAAGCTGAAATGGGGGGAATCCAGCCAAACTAGGAAGGCCCTAAACCGGGCAGTGGCAATACAACGCACCAACAGGTGCACCGCGCAGCTTCGCCACCTGCTCCGTATACATGAAGCCGTTACCCCCACCGGGGATGAATACCACCGACTGGTCCACATGGTGGAATGGCCCAAATGGATCCGCAATCCAAACCTTCTCCCACCAACATGCTGGCACCGCTCAGGAGCTATAGCGGTCGGTACTTGGTGGTCGGACATGCCCACCGGACACGACACCACCCAAAACTGGGACCGCTGGCTACGTCAAGACATTGCACGCTGGACAAAAGAATGCCACAAACGGCGTGACTGGCGTAACACCTGCATCCGGCAAACCCGAGTGCAACAACGGACCGCATGGTTCCAAGGCCGCCAAACCCGTAAATTCCTCCGCTCAGCACTCGGCGCACCCACCCCACCTATTTCCATCCAGAGTGTAGTAATCCGTCCGCCCAATGCCCCCCCCCGCTATAGCTCTGACCGGGACGAAGGCCCAGCAGGTATACGCCCCTGCATCCCCAATGAAGAGCTGCAACATGGTTTTCAGCGGGATCGAACTGTCCAGGACGCTGCCGTGCTTACCTCCCTCCTCATCGAACGTGCCGAAAGACGGCAAGGAGAGCTCTTCCTTATCTCCAAGGATTGCTTAAAGTGCTTTGATCGCATCCCTGGTTGGGTCATGGAGTACATATACCGCAAACTCGGAGTCCCCTCCCTTCCCCGCCAGCTCATGGCCCATTTTCTAGGAGCCAGACAGATCGACATCCGCACGGCTTTTGTATGGCTAGACGGTGGTATCCGTGAATTCGGCCTCGGCCAGGGATCCATACTGGCGGTCATGCACATTGGCTACTACATGGATGTCCTCATCCGACAGCAACAGGTCGGCACTGACCTCGTCCAAATCTCGCACAGCCAACACCCACAGGGAACACGAACACGCACCATCTCCAGCCTCCTCTTCGTCGACGACGCGCTTGACATATCCTCCTCCTACTCAGGCATCCAAGACCGAGCTAGGATATCTAACCAATTCACAAGCCAATCAGCATCGGGAGGAGTGTTTGGAGCCGACAAATCCTTCCTCTTCTACCTCCCCCACATGCTTACCCTGCTGTCGCCCTCAACGATGGGCTCGGGAAACCCCCAACCCATCCGAGTTGTGGCGCCCTCCGAGGGCTTCCGGCACCTGGGCATACATCAAGGCACCCACAACCAATGGGAGGAGACCACTCATGCAGTCTGGCTCAAACTCAACACCCAAGCTGCGGCTATTGCCCCACGGGGGCTTTGAAAAAAGGAGCTCCAATACATCATTAATGCCGTCTGGATCCCAAGTGTCATGTACCGCACGGCCATCAGCGACGCCATCAGTATCGCCCCGGCCCTCGACATTCTTTTCCGTAAAACGGCACGCCGCGTCCTCCGCTTGCCACACGACCATCCTAACTCCTGGTTCTACGACCACACCGATGGCTTGGGCCTCGTCCACTGCGAAGCTTCAGCCACAGCCAAAGGCTGTACCAATTCCTCCGGGTTGCCAACGAGGTGGCTCACCCGCCCACGACATCCTCATGGAATCCCTTCAGTCCTACCAAACCGAGAGTGGCCTCACGGACCACCCACTCGCATTCCGTATCCCCCCACCTGCCTCCGACACTACGTTTATTGGTACACTCCTCCGCGACCTCGCTACCTCCACCCCTGCCCTCACCATCACCACCCAATGGCACCAACCACCCACTAGCCGTCCCCAACGTCCCAACGACCGCCCTATCTTGGCTCACCTCATCCCAGCTCTCAGCACTACTCTCATCTCCATCAACCACTCCCACGCCAACAAAGTCCGGTGGGTCGGTGATTTCACCAATGAAAAGGGCACGATGCTGCTCAGCCTTCCATCATTCTGCACCAAATACGGCTGGAACCGCGCAACACTCAAACGCTTTTCCCCCATCTGGGATGCCATCCCCACAGTCACACCACACAACCCCCTCTATTCAGGCAACAGACTATCCAGTGGGGTTCTCAACATTCCGGCCAGCCACTACCTCTCCCCCCTCTGCCGACTCTACCACGGCCCCATCTTCCCTACCTGGATCAACCCCTAGGTCGCACGTTCTTCACACCCTCCCGCGGCTTCGAAGCCATCCATGTACCACTCCATGCTATGCTTGTCGTCCCCCACCACCTTACACATCAGGACGGCCGACCCGACACATTCAGCTACCGCATCGGCCGACGTACCAGTCTCCAAACTCGACATACTCCCGCCGGCCCAGAAATCGCAGTCACCTTCTGGCATGAGCTCCGAAGGGGAACGGACATTTGGTACTCACCCACACCACGGGAAGCCCGTAGTCGACTCCGCCTAGTCCCCATCGCAGGGTGCGCGATTCTCACTGGCGACCTCCTCCGCACCAGCAGCACCCAACGCCACAAGTTCATCCCATGGACAGACACGACGTGGACAATTCCGGGCACGCACCACACACACCGCGGCAACAACAACCGCGCCCTTATTGCCTCTACCGCTATGCACAGAACAGACCAGGCCCAGCTCCCACCCGCACACCACACTCCCCCACACGCCACACCTGCCTGTTCTGCCTGCCACCGAATCGCGGACACTACTGTCTGTATGGACTGTGGGCAATGGCACCATCCTGCCTGCATGCCATATTGCCAGGTGGTCCTTACGCCACTCCACCCCTACGTACGGCCTCCACACCCTCCCCCTTCGTGCCGCACGTACACACTCCGTCGGTGATGGCAGCGTCATAAACCAAGGAAAACCGTCAGCTCACGGTACATGGAGCTACCTGGGCAGAGACGGCACTACCCTTACTGGGTATATTCGGATACACCCAGACCACATCACCCCCCACACGCTGCGAAGTCCACAGCCTCCTGGAAGGTTTGCACCACTCTGGGGATACAGCGCTCTAAATCTGCGACAACCCCACGGCCATAGGTATTGTTATCCTGGCCAGGTCCCTCAAACACCGTGGGGGCCATCCCCGCTACAGCAATATTTACCGAGTGGAACTCCGCTCGCTCATGGCCCTACTCAACCCAGTGGGCACGTTTACTGGCGACTGGATCCGCGCCCATCAAGACAGCACAAGCATTACGGACCCAGTCCTACGTGCTAAACAAGCCCTGCTTGCGGAAGCCGACTCGCTGGCCACACTAGCACACCAATTACTCCCACACACCGACTATGCCCACCACATCATTCCCGACTCCTGGGAACTCCGAGACCACCAGGACCTACCTGTCACAGGTGCAACTGCCCCCTGGCTTGGCGCCATCTACAGTCGGCATGACTGGCACGCAGCACAGTCCAGTAAACCGGACGCCCGACGCGCCATCCAGCCCCTCCGCCTCAACACCGGAGACTTATGCAAATGGGACCTCCCCGCCCTCTTCTTCTACTGGCGGGCTATCTGCTACACCCTCCACACTAACGTACGCAACACCGCATTCAACCACGGTGGGACCCCCACTGCCGTACATCCCCGGCCTCCCTCGACACGCAGGAACACCGCTTTGGACTCACGCAACGACTTCACTCACGCAAGATCTCATCCTCGCCACACAAGCCGTCATACTCACAGCATGGCTCCCAGACCAAGATATCTACCTCCCTGGCCACTGCACTGCTAGCGCGAGTACCTTCACTGGCTTGACACGTCCCCAATGACATACACGCAGTCGAAAACCCTCCCCCAACTCGGGACACTCCATGCTTCCTATCTCCCCAAAACGCTGTGTACTCGCCCTCCACATGCACCGTCTCCTCGGACCCCCCGACCGACGACGCTCGCACTAGCTGCCACCCAACTACACTGGGAGTCTACACCATGCCGTACGCCGGGCGGCCTCCTACCCCGATGGCTCTACCACACAACCCTTCGCTGCGTACCCCTCCTGGCACCCCGTGACTTCTGGTTCAGTCAGTGGATGGGTGGCCCCAATGGCGCTACATTCCAAGGCCCGCTCGGCGCCTCCCCTCATTGTACCATCCCCCGGCCCCCTACATACCACCACTGGTGGATCGATGCGACACACCACCCCTTCTCCACCACCAGGTGGCGACAACTATCCACTGAAATACGGACAGCCATCACCAGCCACATGCAGACCGCATACTGATTCGTTGTTCCAGAAGGCCCCCCGGGCCATACCCAGGCAAACGGCCTCCCGATCACATGGCTCCTCACCATACCCACGGGCCAGATTACCCTACACAACCCCTCCTCCATAAGCTCACCACTAGCAACCCCGTCCCCATCCACATCGGTTTCCTCACCACCGGCACTACCCCGGACCTCCTCACTCCCGCCTAACACCACTGGACTGAGGCACTCAGACCCCTAGATGCTACCCACTGGCTCCATCGCCCCCCACCCACCATACTTAGCACCACACCAGCGGACGCCAGCACCACCAACTCCAAGATCCTCACGGCTCCCACCTCCACTGGGCCCAGCTCAACATCCCAGCTTTCGACCAATACGCACATGACACACGCATCTACCTCGAGGCTACGTACCCCACCATATACCTTGCTTCCTCTGGCTGGAAAGAATTCCCCACCACGACGACATCCACACGCGACTGGGCATCTACCATCACGCACCTACACGCACCGCACTTCCAAAAAGCATGGTTCTCCGCACACTGGGCTACACTCCGCCAACACTGGCAATCCACATGCATTACTAACGTGGAACACATCCGCACCACAGGGGAACTACCCCTCCTCACTGAGGTTAACAACAACATCCGGCTCAAACGCTGATACCACGATGCCGCCCCCATGGGCCACGACCGACGTATACGCGCCCGCAGAGCCCACCTCACAGCCAAGACGCTCCGATGGCACTCCCGCAGACTCTCCTTATTACTCCCGCACACTCTCCTTATTACTCCCTGCGATCCCCCCTCCCATAGGCTACGCCGACCCGACCCTCCGGCCACCGTGACACCCCCCGGACCCACCTCCAGGGGTTTAAGCATCCCGTCCCCCCGGAGCCGACACAAGCAGGTTTTTCAAGCAGTTAAGTCCGCTAGCTGCTAGCGCAGCTAGTACGCGGCCGAGGCCATTAAGTGCCGTTAAGTGATTTCAACTTTACAGCGTAATATCAATATGCATGAGAACAACGGTAAAATTTCCAATACTATACAACATGTGATGGTCTCTGCATGCACTGGAGAGTCGATCCACCACGAAGCAAGTGTAAGTTGTTTTACTGACTGCGGTGCGAAACCAAAACGAGGCCAGTAAAATTTGCCCGTAATGGCACCTGTCACGTAAAACGTAACAAGTCCAAAGGGTTCTAGCTTGGGAAACGACGCGGTCTCAACACAGATCTCGATGGGGTAGTCGAGAGGCGTGCTGGAACAACGGCAAACACGTGGGGTGTTTAGAGCGAAAACTATTGTTAGGTTGCTACTTCTACGATCAGGCAAAGACGACAGTCAGCCTGCCCCGTATCCGGATATCCTGTTCACTACCCGACTGATAAACGTCGTCAACATGCACCTTTTCGTCACATTCTTCCGGACTTCGCTCAAATCTCCTGATTTGACCACATCAAACCGTTGGCGAGAGAACCGACAGGCCGCTCAAGCGTCACTCTCACGCTACACCCATTCTTCGCCCAGATATGACGATTCCCAACCGCGACCTACACCTGACCAACATCGGCAATCTGGCCCAGGCACTCTTGACGACCGCGGCCAACCTGAACATGGAGGTCGACCACTTAACCCGGCAGCCGCCGACCGGCGACGGACAGACGGGATCGGAGGACTGGCAACAGCAACGCACGGAAATGGAGACGGAACTGGCCCGCTTGCGAGAGACGAATGCACATCAACGCACACAGCTAGCGGACTACCATCGTGTATACAACGAAAACAAGGCCAGTCACGAGTTATTGGAGTCGCGCGTCCAAGAACTCCTGAAGAGATGGTCCAACGACGTAGCCAACCGAGACCAACAACTTCGCATCCGATCCGTACACCGGTTCTGGAACTGGCTGGGAAAGACATGTGCCATGGTGAACCCCAAGAGCGTGACCGTCTTGTGTGAAGCGTACAGCGTCCTGTTGAGGGAGGGTAGAGTGCCAATCACAGTGATGTAACGCCTCTATGCCGCGAACGGCATCCACATTTCGACAGGAGCCCCGACTGCACCCCAAACGAATGACATCGTCAAAATTCCTCCGTTCACCGCCAAGGCTTCTGCACCCGTTTACGTACTAATCAAGTATCAGGCATTGCCAAGTACCAACGAGATTGAAGGACGAGCCATAGGCGCCGGCGCAGTCACGGCCCTTGACACCGCAGCCATCACGCCCGAACGGGAAAAGTGCGGCCGAACGGGAAGTGTCTTCAAGCGGCGCCGGCGACGACGGACGCCCCTCGAAGAGAGCAAAATCCACCCCCGTATCTCCGAAACTTAAGCCTTCGGGCAACGAGTTCAAGCGTATTTCAAAGAACCCGAGAACCTCCCTCAGTCAGCATCCCTCAGTACAGTCCGTACCCGGCTTCACGCAAGAGATGTTGGACGTTTACGAGGAGGTACGAGCGACGAAGCTCTGGGAACGTTATCGGCGGGTCGGATCAATTCTCCCAGACCGAGACGGCCCAGAGGGGCAACACGTGCGTCGGTTTAACACAAGCGTGGCCACCTTTTGGGACCGGTACGGGCAACAACTCTGGGAGCGGACTTACGCCCCGTTCGGCAACGCCAACCATCTGGAACCCCTGTTCCATCAGGTCTTTAACCTCCATGTCGAGTTGCAGCTCTTGATCAACAACACCGACTACGACGACACCCTTGTCCACTTCCTGTGCTTCCCGCACCCGGCTTGGCCAGTCTTGTCACTCAACCCGCCAACGCCAAAGAAGATCCTAGCGGGCGACCCAGGGTGGAGCGCCATCGTGATGGACTACTGGGTGAATCGATCGGTTCGATTCTGGCCCGAAGTTCCGCCGATCCCGCACTCGGGAAAGACAGGGAACGAAGTTTGGTACCGGCTTGGGCGACTGTATCGAGGAACTTCATCGACGCGGGGTGCCCATGGCGTAACAAACCGTACCCTTTCGTGTCAGTGACCTTCCCAGACGACCTTTTGAGTCGCGAATGGACGAACGAGGTGATCGCTCCAAGAACAACGTACTCGTGGAACGGCCAGATAGCCAACGTGGCCTTTTGGAAAG